AGCTAACATGATAGTTTTAGTGTTTGCAGGTACTCTCTGAAATTGGTGGGACAATTATCTCTTAGAACAAAAAAGAAATGAAATTCTTAATGCTATGGCAAACAAAAATATTATGAAGACTGAAGGTTGACACACCACTTTGTCGGTAGAGGTATTTGAGGACACGACTACGACTCTACTTTATGGCATTGCTAAACATTTCGTGGGAGAACCATGACTATTTTAAGAGAAAAGTTTAGAGATTCTAAATAATCTTTACTTCAAAAAATTGACAAATTTCAGGTGGTATAAAGAAATGTATTACAAAGGTCATGCTAAGAGAGAAGTATAATAATGATTATTGGAAAGAGCGATTCCTTAGTGGATTACCTCTTCATTTTGGAGAAAAGTTTCGATCCAAAATTAGAGATTGATGTGAAGGTAAAATTCCTTATTATGAAATGACCTATGGAGATCTTACCAGCTTAATTCATTTTGTAGCAATGGAGCTATGTACTGATCTGAAGCTAAAGGAACAAAAATTCTGAAGTTATGAACATGGAAGCTTTTGTCAAGACTTTGGATTCCCAAGTCTAAAACCCCCTTCAGCAAAAAAGGTTTTGAAGAAAAATCAATAAAAAAAATCATCACCTATAAAATTATCCTAAAAAAGGAAAGGATATTTTAAAGGAAAGAAACGCTCTCACAGCACATATAACGAAGACAAGTGTTGGACATGTGGAATGTATGGACACAAGTCTCCTTTTGTCCAAAAAACAAATGAAAAAAGAAGAAAATCAATATTCTTGAAGTTGATGAAGAAACTAAAACAAAAGAAAAAAAAGAAAATCAGTATTCTTGAAGTTGACGAAGAAACTAAAAAAAGTTTCTGTCTATATTAAACGAAGAAGAATCAAATTCAGATTCCTCTTCAAAAGAAGAAACTGAGGATGAAGAATTCCATCATGTTGCTCAAGATTTAGAAGATAGTTGAGAAGAATGCAATTGTGAAGGATCATTTTGTCATTGTGATAGACAATATATCAGCGTACTCTTAGAAGATTCTGCAGAAATCTTATGTGCAACTATTGAGCATATAAAAGATAATGATGCTAGAAGAAGCTATTTTTGGGTCTTAAAAAACTTATCACTAAAAAAATGATAAAAAAGTTACAAGGAATATAACTCCATTCAGCATGAAGAAAATCACGCAAAGATGTACAGATATGAAGGAAGAATCTTCTATTTAATGAACTTCAAGCAGAAGTCAACTTTCTCAAGGAAGAAGTTAAACAAGTTAAGTGATGACTCATCACGATTGAAATTGATGCTTTAGCACAACAATTCAATAAAGAAGATAAAGTTTCACTTAAAGGAAAAGAATCAGTTCATTCTCATAATGAACATAGAAATTCTGAAGACCCTCAGTCTTCTCCTTCATCACCTAGAGATGAAACTGATACAGAAAATACGGATTCATGTATTAGTATGATTACAAAAGTGATACCTCTAAGTTCTCACATTATTATTAAACTAGTTGTTAATTCTAATTTGTACTTAACAAAATAGCTCCGTTAGACAGTGGTGTAGATAGAAATTGCATTGCTGAAGATTTAATTCCAATTAAGGACCATTAGAAGGGAACTACTAAGCTATACAGCGCGATTGGTGAGCGTATCTTTATAAATTATAAACTTTCGAATGCTCATATCTGCAATGAGGACATTTGCCTTACTAATGATTTTGTCATTGCAAAAAATATTTATGAAGAAATTATTTTGGGTATACCTTTCAACACTCAGATAAAAGTTTATATTTATGATTTTGATTCAATAAAAATAAATAATTTATGAAAAGAAATTTCGTTTCTATTTATCAATACACGTTCTCCTGAAGAAAGTAAAATTTTCATAAACAAACTGCATTTAAAATCAATCAGATTTGTTTTCTCAAAGAAGATATTAAAATGAAAAAAATTGAACAATTTAAAAAACCCCGGGAATTGTTGCTAAAATTACTAATATTCAAAAGAAATTTGAAAGTGAAATTTGCTCAAAATTTCCTAACACATTTTGGGATCGAAAGACCCACATTATAGATTTTTTCATACATTGATGGATTTGATGAAAAGGCCATTTCTATGAATGATAGGCCTATTCAGATGAACCATGAATCAATGGAAATCTTCAAGGAAGAAACAAAAACCCTTTTGAATAATAAAATTATTCATCCTTCAAAATTACGTTGGAGTTCTTTAGCTTTTATGTTAACAATGTTGCTGAACAAGAACCAGGTACTCCAAGACTTGTAATTAATTGCAACCCTTTAAATTGAGTTTTAAAATTGAATCGCTTTCCAATTCCTTACAAAAGGGATCTTTTAAAGAGAACTTTTATAGCAAATGTTTACAACAAATTTGATTTAAAATAAGTTTTCTAGCAAATTCAAATTGCTGAAAAGGATAAATATAAAACTTCTTTAATGTCCCGTTTGGACAATATGAATGGAATGCCATGCCTTTTGGGCTTAAGAATTCCCCATATGAATTTCAAAATATAATGAATTCAATTTTTAATCATATAGCATTATTTCAATTGTCTACTTTGATAATGTGCTAATCTTCTCCGAAGACATAGATTCTAATTTCAATCATTTAAAGATTTTCTTTAATATTATTAAGAACAATGGTTTGGTCATTAGTGCTAAAAATATTAAATTATTTCAAATAAAAATCAGATTTTTAGAACATGATCTTTATCAAGGTACCTATAATCCAATTTGAAGAACAATTGAGTTTTCAAATAAGTTTCCAAATGTCATTTTGGATAAAACTAAGCTGCAGAGATCTGTAGGAAGTCTCAATTATGTTGCTGACTTTATTCACAAAGATAGACATATTTGCAAACCTCTTTTTGACAGGTTAAAAAAAGAACCTGTCTTCTTGGAGTGACAATCACACCAATGCAGTTATCTTACTCAAGACTATGGTTAAGCATCTCCCTTGTCTTGGCATCTCTAATCTATAATTTTTTATGATTGTTGAGGCTTATACATCTGACATTGGATATGGTAGTATTCATAAACAAAGAAAAAACCCCAATTCTTTAGATCAATTGGTTCGCTATACCTCAGGAATTTGGAATTTTGCTCAGAAAAATTATAGCACGATTACGAAAGAAATTCTTGTTATTATTATTTCCATTACTAAGTTTCAATATGATTTAATCAATAAAGAATTCTTGCTTAAAGTAGATTGTAAAACTTATAAAGAAATCCTCCTAAAGGATGTTAAGAATGTTGTTTCTAAATAAATTTTTGCCAGATGGCAAGCCTTATTAGCGAGCTTCGCTTTCCATATCGAATTTATTAAAGGTGAAAATAATTCTTTACAAGACTTTCTAACTATTGAATTCTTGCTGGGTAAACATGAGCAGACCACAGATTAGGCCCTTAGCGGGTAAAAAACCAGCGAGGCCCAATATAAGTGGCCCAATAAGAGCATCACGACCATTTCCAATAAGGTATGAAATAAATCATACAAGGCCTTACTTAAGCAAGTATTCGGCTTTAGCCCAACGGTCTCCAATCGTTCCTCCTAAATTTCCTCATAATAGTTCATCAAAATTGTTGATCTTGAAGAAGCCTTTTCTAAAGGAAAGAGATCCCAAATCATCTTCATCACCAAGCGGAGAACTTAGATTTTCTCAAAAGCAATCAAGTGACTGTTAATGTTTTGCAGAATCAGTCTCTCCAATTAGTGTCAAAACTACTCACAAAGAGAAAGAGAAATTTGCAATGGTTTCTCATTAGGTTTTTCCTATCCATGATTTAGACAATAAATATGAAGGGTATTAGATAAAAAAATCTACTAAAACCAATTTATACAAACAAGAATTATATAGAAACAGATAATTCGTTGAAAACCAGAAGATAATTTCAATTTATCCTTTTCTATCTAGGATCAATTGAGATTGGACATTAGTTAGCAGACAAATCTGACCCAGATAGCGTTGCTTACTCTAAGTTCACAAATAAAAATATTTTTTCTCCTTTCAATTGGCCTGTAAACCATTTCGAAACTTCTATTAATCTCTCTATGAGATTTAACCCACAAAACTATATTTGGTATGACTATAAGATTGCCTAGATAAAGTCCACGTATCTTAGATTTACAACCCACACATGGTTTATGATATATTGTGCAGAAGTTACAGCTTCTACTATCTTAAGATGGTTCTACGAATGGTGGAGCTGCTTTGGTGGAAAATAAAAAGTAATGTATCGACTATTTTCTGATAAATATACTCAGTTTAAGATCTACGAAGGCATATAAACACGACAATAGAATATAAAGCTTTGTATGTTTTTCATTAAAAATGTTTATCTTATATTATCAGTTGGACGTTTGTTATTGCAGATTTTGACAGGATTAAGTTTCTTTCTTAAGATTTCCATTCAAAGGTTGGTCTCCAGCCAAAAATACACCTCCATCTTCAAGTAAGAAGACATTATCAAAAGTTTCACCCTCAAAGAGTGAATTGAAGAAGAGACTTGAAAAATCTCTATTTGAGTTAGATGATAATTCAGATAAAGTTGCAATTAATGTACTTCTTGAAGAAGCATCCTCTCAAAGCGATGACAACGGTTATATTATAAATCCAAAGGATTTAGAAATTTCATATTTAAATCCATTTGATTAAATTCTAATTGAGGTATTATGACCGGACTAATTAGTCTTTCTAATAGAGATCTAAACGATCAAAATTATTAAGAAAGAAACAAAGGAGTCTCAAAGAGATGGAATCTTTGTTAAGATAATTAAAATGGAATAAAGAATTTCATCATCAAAAATCAGAGGACCCAGTCAACACCTACAAAGCATGGCCAAGTAGGAGCTTATCATCAACAATAGGCAATAAAGGTTCTAGACAAGGACTTTACTAAAGATAAATTAGAAAGGAAAAGATGCCTTCTCACAAGAAAAAGTAGTGGAGGAAAATAAAGAAGTTATCTTTCTTTATAAAAAGCAAAAGCAGTGGAGCAAAACGAAGAGCCAATAAGAAAATAAGCTTTACGATTTTCCTTACCCTCTTTCGATTATATAAGGCGATGTAATAAATTATTGAAAGCATCAGAAAATTCACGAACATAAATTTTTCTTGAATCCTCTATCTATTTCTCTTGCTGTAAAATGTTTGAAGATCAACAAAGAAGTTTTCCTATTTTGTAAGTCTTTGATTATCTCTGCACTTTTTACTATTTCCGCAATTTCGATGCAAACTTTGTAATAATTGTCTACTTGTTGTGATGAAGAGCATGGTATGAGTCCTAATGGAATTATGCGATGTGGTCATGTACTTATATTAACTAGATTGGTCTTAATGACTACATGATCAAGGTTGTATACAGGAATGAAATTTTCCTCACATGCTATATTGATGTATGAATTGGATCTTAAGGCTTGTAGTCTTATGATAGGTTTACTAAGTGTTATGTTGTTATGGGTCTTTACATATACATTGCACTAGTAGGTATAGAGTAGTATTTTCACTAAGGGCTTACATTGTATTAATGTGAAATGAAGTATGAATATGTGCAAGTTGATGTAGCTTCCTTTAATATGGTTATACTATTGACTTAAATGTAACTTTGATGTATTAAACTTCTATGATGGTATGTGTGGACTGTGTAAGTTCTAGGTTTTATTTTCCTTGTGGCCTTCAGGTGATTCATTGCACCAAGTATTAATAGAGCATAACATGGGAAGTTATGAAGTTAAAGTAAACATGTTAACTATTAAAAAAGAATATGCTTACCGTAAACAGAAAGTTGGTTACTGTAATGTGACCTTAAATATGGCTTAAATTTTATGTGTCATTTTATATGATATTTGTCCTTTAAATATTTATATATGAAGTATGTGCATGATGCAAATGCTATTACATAAAGGTCTTATGAAAATTTACTCAAAAGACATGAAGTATGATTTCAAGAAAATGTCCATTTTAATGCATGTTTTTGGATGGATTCCATACTTAGTGTATTCTTGTACTAACTCCATTCTTCTATACTCTTTACACAAAGTGTAGGTTAAGGATGCCAAAATGATGTTCTCTTTAAATGAGCTTAATATGTGATCCACAAGCTCAAGGAAAGGAATCCTTAAGACCAAGGATGTCCTAACGTCTAGTTTACTATAGAGTTATGAATAAGTCTACTTATGTATTATGTTGTACGAGTCGTGTCCCTAAAGTACTCTTATGATATTGAGTCTAGGATGGCAAAAAGAGACTACAATCTTTAACTAAGTATGATGATATTCTGTAAATATGATGTAATATTTCTCGCATATGATGCGCTGAGAAGTTTTATATTTTCCTCTAAATTTACATATAATAATGCGATGAATGATAACTATGGGCTTTTATAAGTTCTACGAGAAGTCAGGTACGCCATGTTACTTCTATGGAGAGCTCCACGAATGTGATGAAATTTCACGGTTAACGTCAATGTGAATGATGATGTGAAAGTCAATGTTAACGTGAATGTCAACGTAAACATCAACATCAACATGAACGTTACGTTAACGTGAACATCATTGTGAATATTAATATCAACGTCAATGTGAACATCAACGTAAACTTAAATGTTAACATTGACACAAACATCAACAAAAATGTAAACATCTATATAAACATAAACGTCAACAATAACATCAACATCAACATCAATGACAACGTCAACATCGATGTCAACAGCGTAGTCAATTTAACATTAATGTTGTCATCAACATTAATGTCATCATCAACCTAAACATCAATATGAACATCAACATCAATATTAACATCATCGTGAATATCAACGATAATGTAAAATTTAATGTAAACGTAAACGTCAATGTTTATGTCGACATCACGTAAATGTTAACGTGATCATCAATGTCAAGGTAAATATTGATGAAAACTTCAATGTAAACATAGACGTTAACGTCAATGTGATATCAGCCTCAACAAAAATGAAAATGTAAATGTGAACGTCAATGTCAATGTTAATGTAAACATCAATGTAAATATAAATGTAAATGTCAGCATCATTATGAACATAAATATAAAAATTAATGTCAACGTCAATGTCAATGTTAATGTCAATGATAACATCAACGTGAACATCAATATTAAAGTTAATGTCAACATCAACATAATACTCAACATCTATATCAACGTCAACGTGAACATCAACGTCAATATGAATGCCAACTTTAACGTCAACGTCAACGTCAATGTCCACTTCGACATGAACATCAAAGTGCACGTTAATCTCAATATTAATATCAACGTAGACGTAAATGTCAGCATGAACGTAAATGTTAATGTCAATGTGAACATTACCCTAAACATCGATGTGAACATCAATGGAAACATAAATGTGAACATGAATGCCAACATGAATGTTAACGTGAATGTCAACATAAACATCAAAGTCAACGTGAACATCAATATGATTATCAACACAAACATTAACTTCAATGTAAACGTTAACTTTAACGTGAACATGAACGTGAATGTTAATGTGAACGTCAACTTAAATGTAAATGTCAATGTCAACGTTAACACCAACATAAACGTATACATCAACATCAACATAAACGTCAATGTTAACTCCAACATCAATGTCAATATTAACATCGACGTCAACATCAAAGTCAATTAAATGTCAACATAAAAATCAAAGTGAACATCATGATCAACGTAAACATCAATATGAACATCAATGCGAGCATGAAAAAAATGTGAATGTCAATGTAAACATAAACATCAATGTCAATATCAACATAAACGTTAATGTGAACATGTTCGTCAACATCAATGTAAAATGAAAGAAAACTTCAATGTAAACTTGGACAGGAACACTAACTTGAACGTGAATATCAATGGAATATAGACATCAACATAAATGTAAATGTTAGTGTGAACTTCCATGTGAATATTAATGTAAATTAGAATGTAAATATAAATAAAAATGTAAATGTAAACAAAAATGTGAATATCCACATCAACGTGAATAAGAATATTAACATGAATGTAAAAATCAATATTGATGTTAACGTCAATGTGCCCATCACGTGAACATCACGTCAATGTTAATGTGAACGTCAACGTGAACCTTAACATCTACATCGAGATTAATGTGATCGTGTATGCGAACGTCATCGTCATCATTAATGTCAACATCAATATCAACATCTACTTGATTGTTAACGTAAATGTGAACGTAAACTTCAACGTCACCGTAAACATAAAATATGAAAGTCAACGTCAATATCACTATCAATGTCAGCATGAATGTCAACGTCAATATCAATGTTAACGTTAACATCAACCTCAACATAAACATTAAACATCAATGTCAATGTAAACATTATTATGAACGTCAACGTAAAGATAAACATATATGTGAACGTCAAAGTTAACGTAAACATCAACGTGAACATCTTGTCAACGTTAAGGTTAATGTCAACATAAATGCAAGAGTCAACGTCAATTTAAAGATCAAAATAAATATAAAAGTTAATATCAACATTAATGTCAACGTCAACATTAATGTCACTATCAATGTAAACGTCAACTTAACGGTGAATGTTAACATAAATGTAAACCATAGCATGAACATGTATGTCAACTTTAACATCAACGTGAATGTTAATGTGAGCGTCAATGTAAACGTTAAAGTCAATGTGAACTTCAACATGAACATCAACGTCAATGTGAATGTCAACATCAATGTGAACCTCAACGTCAATGTCTAGTGAGCGTGAGCTTAAATATAATGTGAACGTGAATGTCAACATCGATGTCAACATGAATGTCAACATCAACATAAGTGTGAAGGTCACATGTACACTAACGTCAACATATAAATCAACGTCAAAGTGATCATCAAAGTAAATGTAAACGTCAACATCAAAACAAATGTAAAAGTCAATGTCAACTTTAAAGTTAAAGTCAATGTCAGCATCAATGTAAACGTCAATATATTCATGCACGTCAATTTTAATATTAATGTAAATGTCAACTTGTTTGTATATTGAATCCTTATTGTCAAAATCTTTGTAAACGTCAATGTAAAAATGAATGTCAATGTGAACATCAACATCAACGTGTACGTGAACGGGAACATGAACGTAAATATGAATGTCAATGTGAATATCAATGTGAATATTAAAGTCAACATAAATAAAAATGTAAACGTAAATGTCAACGTTAAAGTGAACGTCAACATCAATGTAAAGGTAAATATGAATGTCAACGTACATAAACATCAACATGAATGTCAACGTAAATATCAACATCAACGCAAACGTAAATGTAAGTGTGAATGTTAACGTAAACATTAACATTAATGTGAAAGTCAATTCTGAACGTCAACATAAACCTTAATGTTGGTGTTAACGTTAACATCAACATAAGCGTGAACTCATATATGAACTTCAATGGGAACATAAATGTGAACGTCAACTTGAAAGTTAGCATGAACGTCAAAGTTAATGTTAATGTCAATGTCAATGTAATGTGAAGTCAACATCAATATAATGTGAATGTCAACGTCAACATCAACGTAAAGGTCCATGTAAACATCAACATTAATTTTAACATCAACATCAACATCAAAGACAAAGTCAATGTCAACTTCAATGTCAACGTCAATGTCAACGTCAACATCAACGTCAATGTTAACCTCAACATGAATGTCAACATGGACATTAACATGAACGTCAACATGAAAGTCAACATAAACTTTTACAAGAACATCAATGTCAACGTTAACTTGAATGTAAACGTTAATGTGAATGTGAATGTAAAGGCCAACGTCATTGTAAATGTTAGCACAAATATGCACGTCAACATAAATATAAACATTCGTGTTAATGTGAATGCCAACGTCAACGGTAATGTAAATGTCAATGTAAACATCAATGTGAACATCAATATAAACATTAATATGAACGTGAATCTCAACATTAATGTCAATGTAAATTTGAATTTCAGCGGTAATTTCAATTTAAATGTCAATGTGAACATCAACTTCAATGCCAATATAATCGTAAACATCAACATGAACATAAATATGAATGGCAATATAAACAGCAACTTGAAAATCAATGTAATATTCAATGTAAACAATAATGTCCAAGTCAATGTGAATGTTAACGTCAGTGTAAACGTGAACAAAAACGTCTATTTCAACATGAACGTGAATGTCAACATGAGCATAAATATCAATATTTTGATAAATGCGAGCATAATCATCAACGTGAATGTAAAAGTCAATGTAAACATGAACGTCAATGTGAACATCAACGTCATCGTGAACGTCAATGTAAATGAAAATCTGAATGTGAACGTCAATGTCAACATAAATGTGAATGTCAATGTGAACATTAACGTGAACGTTAACATAAACATGAATATTAACATCAATGTGAATGTGAACGTCAACGTCAATGTCAACATCAACATAAACTTAAATGCCAGTCTGAACATTAATGTAAATATCAGCGTGAATGCCAATGTAAACGTCAACATCAATATCAATGCCTATCGTCCATTTAGACGTCTTTGTGTTGGTAAACACAAACGTGGTCATCAAAATCAATGTAAACGTGAATGTAAAATTGAACATCAATGTCAACATAAACGTGAATGTAAAATTGAAAATCAATGTAATATTCATATTCAACTTTAATATGAATATCAACATCAATGTTAATGCAAATTTGAATGTCAACATACACGTAAATATCAGCGTAAAAGTCAATGCAAACATTAGCATCAACGCCAACGTAAATGTTAGTATAAATGTCAATGCGAACGTGAACATCAATGTGAATGTCAACATTATCGTCAATGTGAACGTCAATATAAACCACATATATTCACATGTCATAAGCACATCATAAATATCAACTTCACATAAAAACCATCACCTAACACAACTCCTAAGTCAAACTAGTGCAATGTGTTGGTATCATCAGATGTACCTAAGAAGTCAACTTAGACTAGGCATAACATATTTAAAAAGTCAAAAGTCATAACACTTTGATTTATAACAAAACATAAAGCCACATACTTCATAGCATCATATAAGGACTCTTTTCTTTACAACAACCTTTGTCATAAATCATTTAGTTCATATCATAGGTAAACCACCCTCATAGGCCTTTCACAAGCTTACGTGTGCAATGTAAACATAGAGTCCCGTACCTTCACATGTACTAAGTAAAATCACATAGAAGCCATCAGTGAAGTTCACATTCATGTTCACAATTCATATCCTTACATAGCAAAGTCACTTAACATGAATTCAAACAATTCATAAATAATATAA